ACGTCTTCAAAATTTAGCAAAGTAGTTAACCAATGAAGGTCGATTAAGTGGCGGAACGTTTGACGGATGCAGTGCGTATACTTGATCATGATCCATCGTTAGCGCTTTACCGTTTACAAGGTAACTTATTACACTTAGCGCTTCTGATTAGCCTGCTTGTGTGTATGAAGAGCTACAGAACATGTGGGACGCAGTTTACCTGGACTTGTAAATCGAAGAATTCTACTGAATCAGCAAACGGCGTTGCTCTCTGGCGTACAGTTCGACCTTGAGAACGCTCTGAGGTGATTTTTATGATTTTTATGTTTTGAAAGTGTAAAACACTGACTTTGAGGTAATTCAAATACTGTTCAGCACTGTTGAAAATATACGGCAGTCCAGCTCCACATTTGAGGAGTGCACTGAAATGTTACGTAACTGCATTTTTTACAAAGCAGCAACTGGATTTTGATGCAAAACGAAAGGTATTTGAACTTGACGTTGGATTCGCTGAACGTACAGTTTCTCAAGTGAAGCGCTATCCTTTTAGGTGTCTGAAATCGCAGTGAAAGGGCGCAGCAAATCGTTGCACGACGTTACGCGACAGGCGGAGAAAGAGAAATGACAAGCATTCTTCCTTCAGTCTCGGATCTCAGGAAGTAAAACATGAAGTGTATCTAGGAATTTCACAGGTTTTGAACCCACGACCATGTCACTGTTCTTCTGTTTTTTTAGCCCCAAATTGATGGAAATGCGGTGTAGGCAACCAATTGGACTTCCAAAATTTATATGGGGTGGAAGTTCTCAAATGTGACAAGTGCTATGTTACTTTGAAACCAAGCCTTGAGCGCGTTGCAAGTTCCTTAAGTTTGGAATACTTGCTCCTACCTTTATTCCATAGTGTTGAACAGGTTTTCGTCTTTCGCTGACTAGGTCAATTCGCAAGTAAGGTATGATACCAAATGAAAGTTCACTGAAACTTCAAATTATTTTAGGAGTGAGGAAGGCGGCCAAAAAAGTTGTATTGTATATCTTTAACACTTATACCCATTCTGAGCAGAGTTTTTTAATCTTCAGAAATTCACTTTTGGAGGTCTCTAGTAAACACGGCATTTATTTCCCCGACTATGTATATATGCAACGTTTTCACGCACGATGTGATATTTCGGGAAAGAGCAAGTGGTTGTGCCGAGATTAGCGCAATGCAGGAGAGTCAGGGATTTCCCCTGACCAGGGCTGGCATATATGGGAGAAGGTACGAAGATTCTTTCCAGGAAAGAAATATCAGAATTTCATTTGCAACACGGCAGCTACCGGTCCCGAGTAAGACATTGTCAGCTAGTGGCTGCATTGTCGGCATATTGGGTTTGAATGGAAGGCCCATACGCTGGTATTCTTGAAATCTCTCGATTATTGTATGATCTGCTAGGAAGTTACTTCACCTTTGCGAATGCAAGAAAACCTTAAATGTTTCATTCATAGCCTAGTTGGTGGGGGAAAAGATCTCGCGATTCCTTTTCACAGTTTTTCTCAGTAAGCTTTTCAAGTCATCCTTTACGCTAAGCATTGGCCTGCTTTGTTCCATGAGGCTTTTTTTTATTTTCGTTTGTTGTTTGAATTCAAAAGCCTGATGTCTGGCTGAAGAGACGTCCCCGTTAAAGCGTTGGGTTTCTGTTGGACAGCACTTGTAAACAGATGTATCAATCAAAAGGCATGTGTTCTTTGATTTTTCAGTTCTATGAGGTTCTACTGAACTTGGCGCCCATTTTCTACAAAATCTTAGATTTTTATGCAAAAATATGTAAACATGTAAACAACGAAAAATTGAGTATCAGGACTAACGAGTGCGGACCGTTCAACAACCAGAGAAAACAACGTTAACAAAGCAAACTTAACATAATATTTTTAGGAATCAGCTGCAGCCCCATCAGAGACACCAGATGGGTTTTCATTGCGCCGGTTGATAACAAAAAGATCCGCGATCTCCTTGATGTCGTCATCCTAAAAATACGGAGAAATTAGTGGGAAATGGAAATACCACAAATAGTCTTTGCTCACCTCAACGATTTCGCGACCACTGACTTGGGCATGTATGCGTGCCGGAGTTAGTAGTTGTGCGACAGCTCTGGAATAGATTGTGTATTTTACTTGAAATACAGAACACTAGAGGCGACCAACAAACCTCATCGAAGTTTCGTGCGCAAGATCTGCGAACAATTTTCAGACAAGAAGGCGACATATTTACATGTTCAGCGGCAGCTCGAATAGAAATTATCTGAAACCATGACAGAATTAGTTTATCTGGTGACACAAAAAAACTGACAACATGACAAGCAGGCTCTATGCTGCAAGAACTTATTTTCAAGGTAGAATGTCTATACAGTAATTTGGTTACTTGTTCCGACGACTAACTATGTGAAGAAGCCTTGATAAGACTCACTTTTTTAAGTTCTTCTACAGAATACTCAATAGTTGGTACAATAAGAACTCTGTCGAGAAGATCCCGAGGCATTCCGTGAGGTGACGTCTCGTCCGAGCCCCTGTTATATTGTTTGCAAACAATGATGGGGATGGCTCAGAAGTTTACGACAAACGCTTGCTCACCTGATTTTGCACACTCCTCTGTTCGTAGCAAAAATCACAACAGGACTGATGGTACTTTCGAGTGCTCGATGGAGATAAGTGAAACATTCCAAATCAAGCATATGTACCTCATCAATGAACAACACACCCGGCATCAACTCGGCCACTCCCTGCAAACTACTACACATAACGTTCTTCCCTGATTATACCGACCAAATAGCATGGGAAATAGTGCTTTAGTTCTCAGGAGCCGTATCCTATCCCCTCCCCACTCAAAGGAGCGCGTCCCCCACCGCTGATCCTATCCTGTGGTTGGGGGAGACAGGGTTGCGTCATAGGACCAGCCATACTTTGCGTTTCTGGCTCCAGCAACGCGACCCCTCAGAGAAAAGAATGCCTCAATAGTTGAGAGTAGCTGCGAAATCACGAGTTCAATGACGGGTTCAATGAAGCAACTCTGCCTCCCTCAAGAATAGGATAGACTCAGCAGCTTGGGACGTGTCACTTAGGGGAAGGATAGGATAGGACGTATTAATGACTCTATTCATTGAAGTGTACCCTCTATGGACCGAATAATGACCCCGTACTCCTGGAGTAGTCCGACTCTTAACAAGAGTATTAAAAACTAAGAACTGTAGAATGCTGTTAGGTTTGTTGGTAATAGAATTTTCGAACCCACCTGATCAATATAATCGTTGACCACATTGTTAATTTCACTACGTAGCTTATCTGTAATCACAAAGGTGCGTTAACGCTTCGGTGGGTAAGCGCCACTAGGTGGCTCTGTGAATAAATATGGAGACTCACCTGTTATTTCCGTCTTTTTCGGTTTGAAATAGCTGACTGAACATAGAACTAAGATTTCCTTGCTGCCCTTGTGGGCGAGCGTTTGCAATGTCGAGATCGTGAAGCGTGATATCCTTAAGCAAATATGTGAAATGGAAAAGAATATGTCGTGAAAGGCTGACTTGGACCATCATGGATCTCAGAAGATAATATGTGAGCACCGCTTTGAAAAGTCAAAATTTATGAAAAACATCAAAAGGAAAGAGAAAGCATGATAATGTAAAAAGTGTGAGTTTCTAACGCAGACTCCCTAATACCGTTCAGTGGCTCTAATGTGACTCATGGCCACAACGACCTTGACTTAACCCTGAAACAAGATCCTTGTCTTATTGAACTACCTTTTGGGAAGAGCGAATGGAACTATCAGCCCTTCACGACTCAAACCACCGAGCAGTTACTCTGCAACGACCCAGACGCTGAATGAATCGTAGTTTATCAATTAATCGAATTTCAACGCACAGGACTAACACACATATTTGAAAGGAAAATGGCCTAAAACAAGAAAACAGTTATATGAGAAACTCCTTTCAATTCAGGGTCCATTTGGAGCAAAACAAAAGAAGAAAACGTACTTTGACTGCACCGCTGTTGGCCTCAATGTAGATCACGTCACCAATTTCAACCTTCTGCTTAAGAATACTATCATAAATACGATCGACTCAGCTGTTTGCTTCCCTTTTCGCGTTCTTCATGAGCCTGACTCAGAATGTATAGCCTATAGTTTTTTTCCAAACAAGCTACATAGAAACCGTTACAATCGAAGCAGTGGCCTGAAAGTCAATGTATTCCAGTCCAAAAAAGATAAATGAAATGACCACGCACTGAAGAATCATTGTACAATCCAAACAATGTCCTCACCGACAAGGCAACATCGTTAGTTTTCTACTTACTGTATTAATACGTCTTGATCGCTTACCTATCCACCAACGTGATTTCGTCTTGTTCTCGTACTGGGTAGTAAGTCTAGTCATGCTCACACTTCATCACTCCCCTTCTTCTCTCTTTTACTGCCGCAATCTCTTAAAAAAACTCAATACACATACACGAAAACTGTCAAGAGCATGTCTCAAAAGGCATTACCTATTCTCTCGAAGTTCTCCAGAGATTTCAGTTCTTTCAAACTCTTCACTGGGAGATATACTAGCCTCCAGATGCAACACATAGGACAAATGCGAAACCCTTGGCTCTCCAGCGTCTTTGAGGCCTGCGCTACGCTGTTTTCCCCCCCTCGCCCTAACCATTTGGTATCGGCTAAGGAAACCGAAAAACCGCCAATACCGGCATCGAACTATCAACCTCTTGAACGGGAAGTCAGATACTTCTACCCATTGCATCCCGTCAAGTGTTAGCATAGCTATTCTGAGCTATGTTCAAACTGATCGCCTATAACCCAACTTTAGTATCGATGACTAGGGCCACTTTCTGAATGACAACAGAAATGTACGCAATAATCATACATAGAGGCAAAACACCATAAATGCACAAGACAATAGCGTTCATATAGAGGGAAGGCAGAGAAATAATGCGGATAAGAGAACCCTTTGGATCTCATTCATAAGGGAGGGGGGGGGGCTGTGGTGCAACAGCTGCCGAAGTCAATTTTTGAAGGGAAGGAAATCCGGGATGCATGAACTATTTCGCTTCCGTTTTTACACTCTCCCCAGAGGGTTCAATGTTTCTTCCCTGTAAAAACTGAATCACTTCAGGTGATATGAATTTCGCATCCAAAGCCCTCCCCCCGCTCTGAGCCCCTACTCTATTCAAATGTACCTGTTCCCGGCGGTCCTGCGAGAAGTAACGCCCTTCCGGCCATATTCTTCATTTTGACCAAATCAACAAATACTCCTGCAGCAGTGCGCGCAAGCGTTTGTCCTACTAGCCCTCCAGCCTGTAATTACACGATCTTTTTCATACAGCATGTTATTCACTAAATTTATTGAAGCTTGAGCCCGCTAGGGCACTTCCATAGTTTTTCGTTTGTTCGTAATGATCACACCGAATTAGATACATATCCATCGTCCGACGAGTCCCATCGTTACGATCGGATGATCGACTATGGAAGAGCTTACAGAGACTATCCAAGGTTTAAGCTTAGAACAAATAATAACAATGTCCTCAGCTTCAGCCGAGAGGCGCAACACACATGAAATGAACAGTATGAAGTTTCTGCTTCGAACATGTAAAGAACTAACATTAGGAAGAGCCTCTCTTGTTACAGGATCAAGACCTAAGCCTTTCACATGGCTATGCGCTGCGACACGAGCTTGTCTCACTGTATGTTCAACCTGAAAAACTTCGAATATGTCTCTCAAAACACACAAAAAAGCTTGCAAGATCGGAAACAATCGAGTTCGTGAGCGCATACCTCATCTACGAAGGTTTTGATTCCATCTCCAGCTGTAATTGGTCCCTCATCCACCTCCATACCTGAGGAGGGAAGAAAATGTAAACATGCATATCTCAAAACTAAAAAAAAACAGCTGCGAATCTAGAAAATCACAGGAAATTCCAGCTATGGAAAGCAATTTCGGAAATCGCGCTCGAATTTCGTGTAGGAAGTGCAATGTCCGCAATCGCGTTCACCGCCCTTGATTATACGAACAGCACTGCGTTGACTAGTTTATGTGAAAAGCCTTATGGCTACAGTCCACATCTCGAAGTCTGATTGGGCGTGTCACCGGAAATGACGTGGCAGCCACCGCACTTGATAGAAGTTGCGCGGATAAGCTGCTTCCAGCATGCTTTGCTGATATCCAGCGGAGTATGTTAGAAACAGCTTATGCACACGTCTTCTATCAAGTGTACCTCGTCAATTCCGGTGACACGCCCCAATCCGACTTCGAGAAGTAGACTGTAGTTCCATGGAAATAGCCCTTTGTCAAGGTTAGTAGGATATAGCTTGGTCAAGGCTGAATGGACCTTTGTGTTGTGGGTGAACATTTGAAGTGAGATTAGCCGCAAATGTATGACACTACTTGTACCTTCAAATTTCTTTATTTAAGCAGGGCTCCTTGGGCTCTTTACCTCCTCCTTATCACTGGACTAAGAATTCCTCTTCTCCTACAGTTTAACGTTTAACACATTCACGACGACCCCCCTTTTCCACTTTTGGCCAATGTCATAGTTTGCGAATCGAGCGATTCGCTAGCGGATCGCTAGAATCCAAGCGTGCACAGTGCAGTGCGAACTATGACTAGCCGACTCATTTAGTCGGGACCCAACGTTCAGGCGAGCTCGCACTTTCAAAACACTTTTCGCGTGAACTGTGGATCAGTTTTGTAAACGCGCGGACTTGATAGTGGACACTGTTTTGGTCAAAGGGGTGTGCGTCATATGGCGCGATCCCACTGGCATTGGAGCGCACAGGCCGTAATTACATTCCTGCTGTGGCCGGACAACTCGTCCGCGCAACACATTCTGTTCCGTTCATCTTGCCTTGGCATCAGGCCAACGAAGCTACCCACTCTTTTTTTAGATCTTTGGGACTCAGCGAGATTTTTGAGGGCCCAAATTATCACATCGATCAATTGCTGAAGTCTAGCAGCTGTGTGATACGGACGAGTTGTCCTGGATACTGTGCGCTCTAATGCCAAATGGGATCGCGCCATATGACCTGTTACGGATCTGCGGCACTCCCTCTAGGCTCTCTGACTGCGAACGGGTCATAGCGCAGAGAAAAGGGGGACTCCCGATGACTCAGGCATTCTCGCGCCGTCTCTACCCTCTCCTCGGAGAGAGACCACTGCATCTCTACCCCCAGCTGGCGAGAGACATGATCGATCGAATGCGGTGAGAGCACCATCGCTTCGTTGCAGCGCGGTTTCACGTGAACCAAACATGACTGGATGGGCGCCCTCGATTGCAAATCGTGACAACGATAGAGGATTTGCTCTCTGATGATGCGTCTTTGTTTTGAAGAACGACTTTCTAGCGCTTAGAATTAAGCTTAGGAGGGGAAGTTGAGACTCCAGTGTGGGTACCACGCATCATGTTGCAAAATTGAAGTATGTGAGTATATTCCTAATAGGACTCCAAATAAACCCTGTAATTAAGTTTACAGCGGATTTGGTGACAACAGTCATGGCGCCAGCTGAAGCCAGTTTGACGCCTGCGTCAGAAAAGGATGCCATATTCGTGATCAGGACGCTCAATAACCCCAAAACAAGTGGGGTTTTTTCACGCAAATCACTCGTCTAACCCTTACTGAGGTTATAATAGTGTAATACTGCTCAGTTTTTAAAGTTTTACTTGGGGAAGCTGATGGTGCTGCGATTCAGGAACCTACTTCAGGATTTCACAAGGTCTTAGAAACCTAGCCTTGATTCTCAACCGATCCCTACACGTTTTCCTTACCCTTTTTCTCAGTCGAGTTCCCTTTTTCAAGCATCACCGTGCGCGCCCTCAGTGCCACAGCGCACTCCTCTCATTCACGTGACTGTGAATCATCGCGAGAGCCAGGCAAGGGCACACCACTGAGCGGTGTACCGGTGAGTCAGCGCTGATGTCACCGCTCCAGAGCACAGCAGTTAGAGACTCATCTTGGCGGGAGTGCGCAGACGAGAGCAGAAAAAATGGCGCGGTCGGCGAATTTAAAGGCCGGAGTGCAAGTAGTCCGTAAACCGTGGACCGCCTCCCCTTGGCGGCTTTCCGTTTGAACGTTAGAGTCCCGCACAATGAGCCGCCTGGTACATCGTTGGACTTGCTGGTACATAGTTCGATTCGCTGGCGCAACGTTCGATTCGCAAACTATGACATCGGCCTTTTGGTCGCGTGGGACGGACGCGATTTTGTGGGCGCCGCTGCCCCACCACATCACCTCAGATTTTATACTGGAAAGATGAACAGAATCATGCATCCACAAAAATGATTTTCATCATATGTTAGTGGTTGTACAAGGATTATCTGAGCCTATAGAAGTGAGTATTTCCGATTCGAAACACGACAAATAGTGGTTACGAAAAGAGAGCATTTATTCACTTTCCCCGGTGAAGGAATTTAAAAGCATTTCTCACTCGATTACGAGGTTTGCCCACCTATCTGTCCATTCCTAGCGCCTGGCAAGCGATTATCAGCTTGGCAGCCCATATGGGCTGCCATCGTCCAGAGCACATGTTGTTGGCAGCCCATATGGACGCCCATCGGCGTGAATGTGTTAAAGGTCATATGCCATCAAAACGGGTGTGATCGGGCAATGAATGCGAACGTATTAGTATGAAATGGGCGGCAGTCCCTACTATATATGAAATGTTATGTCTGTCTGTATGTGTGTGTCACGAAATACATAGCAGTCGTCAGGAGCTGATTTTGAAAAAGATAGAGGAGGTGGGACGGGAACATATTTGGTGGGGGTCAAAAAGTAAAAACGGCGATCACTTGAAAGGCCAAACGTGTAGAGCATTTCTCAATATCATTTCATTAGCGTTGTAATTGTAAACTCACACTTTTCAACCGCTACACTTTGTAGAGTTCTTAGGGTGAATGGGATGCTCAATTAAATACGGTAATGAGTACTGGGTATTCCGTTCCGAGATCATCAGATACTATTCGACCGCTGAATTACCTTGATAGGTAGTTGTTTACATACGCCACTTTAGCTCTGCACTTCACTGCGGCTTATAAAACTGAGTGGACTTCAGCTCAAGAGGGGCCGCCTATGCAGCGGAACAATCAATGCATTTAACGAAGCAGTTATCGTTTTAGCGGTGATACCTAGAGCTCACTGACTATCAGATCTATCAAAGGCTTCCGTGTCATGCACGCGGTAGCGAGCGGAGCTAAATTGGTAAAGAAAAATGTAAAAAAATCTCCGTCAAAAACGGCTTAGCGATTCTAGGGGGACTTAGTTCACCATCGCAGTTCGGCTATGGCGTACTGTAGGCAATGGAAGACTGAGCGCGGAGAGAGGAGAGAGCGCAACAGATGAGAGGGCGTCGGACAATACGTAGTAGATAAATGAAAAAAAAGAAATTGCAGCTGCTACAGCTCATTTTGCAAGGCCCTTGTGTTCTGTCGGGTGATTTGCGGACACACGAATGTCACATCAGTGATTGGGCATCCAAGCGTTGTACTCTCGACAGCGCGTTGGATAACGCTGACCGCATGCTCGTCCTGCCTGCGCAGAGTCCAAGTCTCTGAGGCGTAGGTTAGGGCAGGAAGGACTGCGGAATCGAAGAGGTGGGCACGGAGCCGGATGTTCTTCGTCTTCTTCACTACTCCCTCGATGTTCTTGAACGCTCCCCAAGCCGCTCGTTTCCTCCTGCTCAGCTCTGGAGCTAGATCGTTCATCATATTGATTTCCCGACCTAGGTACATTCGGTGATGTTCGTTCCGTTGAGCGTGAATGGGGCATCAGGAACCAATCCGTTTCTCATAAACATCGTCTTCGTTAGGTTCAGCTGTAGACCAACCTTACCACAGGCGCAGTCGAAATCAGCCAGCATTCGCTCCGCTTGCTCGATGTTCGGCGTTATAAGAACGATGTCGTCAGCAAAACGAAGGTGGTGTAGTTGCCGGCCGTCGACCTTCACTCCCATTCCAGTTGACGCATGACGTTCTCGAGAGCGGCGCTGAAGAGTTTGGGCGAGATGGTGTCGCCCTGTCGAACCCCTCTCTTGACGTCGATGATGACCTCCTTGTAGAATGGTGAGATTCTGGTCGTAAAGTTGCTGTAGAGCTCACGAAGAATCCTTGATGTACTGAGTAGGGACGCCCTGGTTGCCCAAGGCTTCGATGACCGCTTCTGTCTCCACAGAGTCGAAGGCCTTCTTCAAGTCGATGAACGTGAGAAAAAGCAACCTAAGGGCTTTATTGTACTGTTACAATCCCATTAGGAATGAAGTGGATCAAAATTTTTTTTCTAAAACTTCTTCTATTGTGGCTCTCAACCCGAATATAGCATTAAATTTTAACGACGTCAACAAGAATCTAACATCAGCGGACGTAAGCAAACCAGCCCTTTTGGCGCTTCGGCTGGGACCGTATGCTGAATGTTGGGGAGGGGATGGAGTCCCCGACGGTGGACGGACCACTTCAACTCGGTCCTTAGAACCGCCACAATTTGGTGCTTACCTCAGAACTAAGCCTTAAAGAGAGGACGGGTCCGTCCCCTCTCCAAGGCTTAGTCCTGGGGTGAGCAAACCAGCCCTTCTGGCGGAGCTGCTGGACCAGCTGCACCACTTGCGTCAGTACTCTCCTATCGTACCAACCG